GGATGGAAAGCTGCCTAGTCAGTCGATAGCCAACCCGAAAGGGCAGACTTACATGATTAATGAACCTAATTCCTCAGGTATTCATCATGAGCAAGTTTAGGCTATCATTACATTGAGGAGTGCTCAAGTGGTTGATAACCAAGTTGAAAAAGGACAGGAGGAAAAAGAAAAGCTTAGGATTCCCATTGTTCCTATCATTCATAATCCGCATCCTAATGATGTTTCGTTAAGTTCTATTCGATATTCCACAAGAGGAGTTGAAGGTGGAGTCACTTCTTCATCTGCTCCTAACCCTAAGGCAGCTTATGAGCCAAAAGCGCCTTATCCAGAACGTCTCAAGGAACCCTCCCACTTTAGTAAACAAGGGGAGAAAATTCAAGATATGATGGAGGTCTTTAAACAGGTTAAAATCAATCTTCTTCTGCTCGATGCTAAAAAGCAAATTCCAGCCTATTCCAAATTTCTAAAGGACTTGTGCACTCTTAAGAGAAAATCCAAAAGCCAAGTTCCTAAGAAAATTTGTCTCATCGAGCAAGTTAGTGCTATTCTTAAGAATAACACTCATTTAAAGGTTAAAGATCCTGGTGCTCCTACAATTTCTTGCGTCATTGGAAACAAGGTGATAGAGCGAGCACTTTTTGACCTTGGAGCAAGTGTTAATCTTATTCCTTACTCGGTGTATGGGAAGTTAGGTTTGGGAGAGTTAAAACCATCGTCGGTTGTTCTACAGCTTGCTGACCGTTCTGTCAGACAACCACGAGGTATTATTGAAGATGTACTCATAAAAGTGGACAAGTTCTATTTTTTGGTCTATTATCTAGTTCTTGATACAAAACCGGTCCACGATTCCAAAAAGTATGTTCCAGTCATTCTTGGGCAACCTTTTCTAGCCACAGTGAATACTTGCATTAACTGTAAGACTGGAGCCATGGATTTATCTTTTAGGAATATGAAAGTCAAGTTAAACATGTTTAATGCTATTCATCATCCCCACGATGATAGTGAGTGCTTCTTCCTTGATGTTATTGATGAGTTGGTTGAGGAATCACTCCTAACTATTTTATCTAAGGATCCTTTAGAAACTTGTCTGAATCACTTCAATTATGAAGATTTCGATATCGATGCCTCGATAGCTGAAGTGAATTCTTTGCTCAATTCCACTACTATCACAGATTTTTCTCAATGGAAATCTAGGTCAGAGCCTCTTCCACCACTTTTTAGTACTCCACGTATTCCTTTGTTAGAGTCTCCACCTAAACTTAAGCTTAAGCCACTACCAGAAAAGCTCAAGTATGCTTTCTTGGGTTTAAATGACACCCTCCCGGTGATCATTGCTTCCAATCTTACAAGTTCCCAAGAAAGTAGTCTCTTAAAAGTTCTTGAACAAAATAAAGAGGCTATTGGGTGGAGTGTGGCTGATTTAAAGGAATTAGCCCCACAATTTGCATGCATCAGATTCATTTGGAGGAGGATTCTCGAACATCTCGGGAACTCCAATAAAGATTGAATCATAATATGAAGGAAGTAGTATTGAAGGAAGTTGTGAAGTTGCTAGATGCAGGAATAATCTACCCCATCTCAGATAGCAAGTGGGTGAGCCCTACTTAAGTAGTACCCAAAAAGACAGGTATTACAGTAGTTGAGAATTCTGAGGGACAATTAGTTCCACATCGCACCACCATTGGATGGCGTGTGTGTATTGATTACCAAAAACTCAACTCCGCTATTAGAAAAGATCAATTTCCACTTCCACTCATTGATCAAATTCTAGAGCGATTGGCTAGCCAGAGCAATTATTGCTTCTTAGACAGATATTATGGCTATAATCAGGTGGCCATTGATCCTAAGGATCAAGAGAAAACTACTTTCACTTATCCATTTGGTACATTTGCATATAGACGGATGCCTTTTAGTTTATATAATGCGCTAGCAACATTCTAGAGGTGTATGATGTCTATCTTTTCGGACATGGTTGAGAAGTTTCTCGAAGTCATTATAGATGACTTCTCTGTTTTAGGGTCCACATTTGAAAACTGTCTCCAAAACCTTCCCTAGTGCTTCAACGTTGTAAGGAAACCAATCTTATTCTTAGTTGGGAAAAAAGCCATTTTATGGTTCAGGAAGGAATTGGGTTAAGCCATATCATTTCAGAGAGAGGTATTAAAGTTGATAGAGCTAAAGTAGATTTGATCTCTAAATTGCCTCCTCCTACCTCCGTAAGGGGAGTGCGATTATTTCTTGGGCATGCTGGGTTCTATCGATGCTTCATTAAGGATTTCACTAAAATTTCCCGTCCTTTATGTAATTTACTTGTAAAGAACGTTCCTTTTGTCTATGATGAATCATGTCTTATAGCTTTCTAAAAGCTTTGCCCTATTCTTTCTTCAACTCCTATCATGAATCCTCCAAACTAGGCTCTTCCATTTGAGATTATGTATGACGTATCTGATTATGCTATGGGTGCTATCTTGGGACAACGAGTGGATAAGATTCCTCATGTTATCTACTATGCGAGCAAAACTCTGTCAGATGCACAGTTGAATTATACAACTACTGAAAAGAGTTGTTTGTTGCTGTCTTTGCTTTGGATAAATTCAGATCATATCTATTAAGTTCCAAAGTCGTAGTCTATTCTAATCATTCTGTTTTGAGACATATTCTTTCCAAAAAGGAAACCAAACCCTGTTTGATTCGATGGATTCTCTTGCTTTAAGAGTTTGATTTGAGATCCGGGATAAGAAAGGGTCATTAAATGTTGTAGCTGACCATCTTTCTAGAATTCGTATTGAGGATACCCCATCTTCACTTGTAGTTTGTGATTCTTTCCTGGATGAACAACTGTTTGAGGTTTCTCATAAGGATTTGCCTTGGTTTGCTGATATTGTGAATTACTTCGCAATAAGCAAAATTCCTTTGTCTTAGTCAAAGTAGGAAAATGATCGATTCTTTTCCCAAATTAGGATGTACTATTGGGAAGATCCTCAACTATTCAAATATTGTGCTGATCAAATCATTCATAGATGCATTCTTGAGAGTGAGTTTCATAGTATCCTGACCTTCTGTCATAATTTGGCATGTGGAGGTCATTTTAGTGAAGAGAAAACTGTAGCAAAAATTCGTCAGTGCGGTTTCTTTTGGCCTTCGCTCTTTTAGGGTGCATACTTATTCTGTAGATTATACCTTGGATGTCAGCAGCTAGGATCAATCTTTAGAAGGAACATGATGCCCTTAACTCCAATCTTAGTTATTGAGGTTTTTGATGTTTGGGGTATTGATTTCATGGGTCGTTTTGTTCTGTCTAATCATAATGAATATGATCGGTTGTCAATGATACATCAACCTTTGCAATAGCACAAATCATTATAAAATAGGGCTATTGGTCGGGTAAGTCGAACCACTGGGACTGCTAGTTTATGGCAACCTAAGTAGCTAGAATCATCTTTTAGAATGATAAAGGGGTTTATAGAGGATTTGTTGGATTGTCACTAAAAGTAGGAATTGAAATGTGCATAAATTGAGAATGCAAGGGAGTACGAGATAAAGACGATAAGAAAAGGGAGTTAGGTAGGTAAATTCATTACCTATCAATAAGCATGCTATGGCATGATTTACTTTGGGGAAGTAATACATATAAATGACTATAGAATATAACAACATAAAGTAGCTATATTTCCTTCAAGAAAATTATGAAATCAATAGGCAAGAATAACCTATCAAAGCACTACATGTTTTGGTCACCTAAACTAGGATACAACCTTAGACATGATCACCAAGCCATAGATCATCAAGCCCCTAATCTCATAATAGGAGCATATGAAATAGAAATCAAGAAGAATCTATCAAAGGAAAGCCCTAACCAATAGATTATCAAAATTCCTAAATATCATGCCAATAAAAACACTTCCATGAACTCATCCCCATTGTCACTACGAAAATGTAGCAATATAATCATGAGAGAAAAATAATCTAAAACAAGATGATTAACCCAAAATGATCATTTATAAGCATTGGAGTTCTTTACATAACATAAATTGCTCTAGTTTATAGAAAGATCACACATATACATTAATCCCCAAATATAAATCAAAATAGAGCAATGCTTACGAGATGGAGCTTCATCACCTCCCTAAACAGGGAGTTAGTTACCATAATTACAAAGTATGAAGAAGAAGAGGAAAAACCACTCTCTATTTTCACACCCTCAACTCAAGAACAATTATTTTCCTCTCTAGCCTTTAGCCTCCTCCAAAACTTGAGATATAAGATATTGGATGTGCGTCTTTCCTTTATTCCAACCAAAACCTACTCACCATAACCCCCCAAATCCTGAGGCCCCCCTCTACATCAAGCTAAGCCACACAAAATGAAGATAGGAGACAAAATTTCTGAAATTCAGGGGCAGTTGAGCTGCCTGCAGCAGGTCGGCAGGCGCCCGCGGTGGCTTATGGGGGACTGGAGTGTTTGGCGGGCGCTCGTGATGGCGCGGCGGGCGCCTGCAGTTGCGAGTGAGGGCTCCCTCAGGGGCACAATAAGGCCTCGTGAAATAGGGCAGAGAGATGAGGGATTCGGCGGGTGCCCGCGGTAGTGCGGCGGGCACCCGCAAGAGCTTGCCTTTGCTACATTAACAAGGCTTTTTGCAAGCCTTCTTCACGCCAGACCGTGGATGCACTTCCACGATGAAGACTCAGTCATGACTTCACAAAATGGCAACAGAAGAATTCAGATCCAAAAGATGACTCCCCGACACGGCTCGCGTATTTCAACATAAAGTTGTCAAAACCGCTTCTTTGATCATTCTTGGGAAAAATACCTGAAATCAGAAAGAAATACACAACTGAATTAAAATCGTACATTATCCTCTAATAATGGACTTAACTAATGCAAGAAAGGGCGCTTGAATATGCAATATTCGGTGCTTATCAGAATACATTCTTGTTGCTATTGACTATGTGTCTAAATGGGTTGAAGTAGTAGCTGCCAAAACCGCCGATCACGCAGTTATGGTTGAGTTCATTCAAACGAACATTCTTAGTCGATTTGGTATACCACGAGCTATTATTAGTGAAGGGTGTGCTCATTTCTGTAATAGGTATTTCCGTACCTTGATGCAAAGATACTCCATTACTCATAAAGTTGTTTCTGCCTATCATCTCCAAACAAGTGGCCAAGTAGAAATATCCAATTGTGAATTTAAGAGAATTCTTAAGAAAACAGTTAAGCCAGATCATAAAGATTGGTCTTCTAGACTGTATGATGCTTTATGGGCTTACCGTACTGCTTATAAAACTCCAATTGGTATGTTACCTTACCATCTAGTCTATGGTAAGGGGTGTCATCTTCCTGTAGAGTTAGAACACAAAGCTTTCTAGGCCATTAAAAAGCTCAATTTTGATATAACATCTGCTGGTTCTAATAGGAAGCTTCAATTAACTGAGCTTAAAGAATTACGTAATGATGCATATGAAAGTGCTAAGGTTTACAAAGTAAAGACTAAGGCATTTCATGATAAACATATCTTGCGTAAGACTTTTGAGCCTGGGAAGAAGGTTTGGTTGTTTAATACACGACTGAAACTTTTTCCTAGAAAGTTAAAGTCACATTGGAAAGGTCCATACATGGTTATTTCTATTACACCTTACGGTGCAATAGAGATACAAGATTGCAAAACTGGACAACTGTTCAAGGTCAATGGATAGAGACTAAAACCCTACATAGAGGGTAATGTGCAGAGAGGCACAGTGGAGGCAGTAGAACTTCAGGATCCTATCTACTTGGACTAGAGAGGTCAGGTTTTCGTCGAGCTATCGACGTTAAACTTAGCATGCTATCGAGCTGTCAAACTTAGCACTTGTATGTTGTACCGTAGATTTGTTTTGCTTTTATTTTTATTTATTTTAGTTTGAGATTTAATTATTTTTCTTGGTTTAGTAGTTTTTAGGTTTATTTTTTAGTTTAGTTTGTTGTTAGTTTGAAAAAAGAAAATAAAAATTGAAAAATAATAAAAAATCCAAAATTTTTTAACAATGCTCGAGCCTGACAGTTGAGGCTCGAGCATCAGCAGCTACAGGCTCGAGCATCTGTACCTCAAGCTCGAGCCTTTCATCATCAACAATTTAGGGATTGGTGTTGGCAAGCTCAAGCTCATACCCTTGAAGCTCGAGCTTGGGGTTTAAAAGTTTTAAAATCAAGAAACCGAGTACTCCGTCTCCTATATCACAAAAGATATCCATTCTCGGTATAAAGTCTCTCAGTTCTTTCCCTTTTCTTACTCAATGTGCTTCACCTTCTCGTTTGAGATTTGTGGGCCTTATTGAGGTAAACTCCTATTTCTTCTTCCTTTTTCCATTGGTTTTCCCATAGTTTATTAAATTTGTTAAATCTAATGGGGAAGAGTATGATTTGTCCTCTGACTACATGATTCTTTGGATTTTGTTACTGCATCGTCCACTTAGACTAGTTGTGTAGCTCAACTTGTGATTAATTCATATACTGAGATCTGAGATTTGTGTTCTCAAATCCAGGTAAAGCTCGAGCTCTGTAGATTAAAGCTCGAGCATTAGGTGATGCTCGAGCCTAAAAGTTTAAACCTCTAGCATTGGTTAACCGATTGTATGCGCTAGAAAGTTTTGGGTACTTTTAGGGATTTTCTTGGGGATTGCTCATCCTATTCTTGCTAAGTGCGCTAGGGTGATGAAAGATGTGTCGCTTAGTGCTTGGAAGATAATTCTAATTTCTTATGAAACGACCTTTGGCAATCAGGCATTCATCATTGATCCTCGCACTAGATGGGCTATGAAATCATTTAGTTACGGCACCTTCTTCATCTCATGGTTCTTGTTACTCAGGTTACTTATCCTCGTCTAGTTCATTTGTTTTACCTCAATCTTATTTATAGTGAACATGACCCTTGGGAGCTTAGGACTACGATTAATGGGCATGTGTTGATTATTAATCCTGATACTATTGCTGCAGCTCTAGAATGTTATCATGCTCTTCCTGAGGTACTAGATGAGAGACGTAGTTGTCCTATTTTCACACCTTTTCTAAAGGTACAAATTGCAGAAACTCTGATTCAGAAGTTGTGTAATGGTAGGTTTGCCAAGAGAAAGCATAGTAGCACTACCAAAGCTAAAATTCGTAAAAGGTTGTGGATTTTAGATTCTATCATCTCTGCTAATGTCCATCCTCTTGGACATAAAAATATTAGGAATACTGATTCTCTCAAGGCGCTGTATGCTATTCAATTTTTGCATTGGTATTCGCTCCCTAGAATGATTTTCTATCAGCTATTATAGTTTTGGATAGAGATTGGACCACACAAAACTATCCCAACCCATATGATACCCTTTCCATACTTGATTACCAGATTGTTAGACTTGCAGGGTTTTGTGGTGGATCCAAAAGAAGGATCATGTGATGAATCTCCAAAATTTGGGATGAAGGAATGGAATAAGGTATAGGGACATATATCGGCACATCATCGAGATGCAATAGATTTTGGTGATGAGGGTTATGTAGCAATTGCTGCTAGGAGGGCAGATGATAAAGCCATAGGGGAGGAGATGGATCTCACTAATAGTCATTCCTCCCTAGGGAGGAGACCTGCTCCTGCAGCCCAGCCTGAGAGTTCTTCTCAGGCTGAGATTAGAGAGTTACAGGCCAGGGTGGCTGAGCTATAAGATGGTCAGATGGTGCTGCAATATTGCTGACTGCACAACAGAGCATACTGGAAGAGTTACTGCGCCTTACTACATCCGCTCCATCTACTTCTTCTGTTCCACCACCACCACATATGGATTAGTTCTTAAGATTTTTTTGTATTTTTTGTTGACTAGGGCAGTTCTTTTTTATGTATTTATGTCCATATGATGTATATCTGCCCTAAGTCTTTATTTCAAAAGCATTGTACTGATTTTAGAGATATATATCTACATGCTTTTTGTTTTATTTCCTTGTGTTGATATTTGAGTTCACTGTGATATTTCTCTATGCTTTCTCCATACACTTGATACTCTAATCTGTGTTGGATTTTATTCATTTTTCCAAATACAACAGATTAAGTTTGGGGGTGATTTGACTTACAGCAACCCTGGGTGGTTTTGAGGAACCACTATGTTGAAGGAGGAGATGCTGGAAATTCTTTTTACCTGTCTTTGCATTCTTTTGTCATATCTTTGCTGGTCTGCTTGTATGGCAATATCTTTCTCACTCTCTTTTGTTCTCACACATTGAGGACAATGTGCACCATAAGTTTGGGGGTAAGGGGGAAATTTCAAATTTTGGTTTAACATAAGGATATGATTTGATAGTTGATGATATAAGCATGTGTTTAAGTTTGTTGATGGTTCTATACTCTGTTTGCAGTCTAATGTTGGTTAGCAATGGTTTATATGCTAAAATACTATGAGAAAGATTCCTTTAAAAAATTTTGAAATCAGTTGGTGGCTTGTGGTTTACTTTTTTAGGATGATTATTGTTTGATGATATTGATCTCTAGGATGCTACACTTGGCACATATTCACCCTTGCATGAATTCTGTGGGGTAGAAATTAGAAGTCTTGTTTTGTTTTGAGTTAGACTGAGATAATCATGTAGATTTGATAGTTTTGATGACCAAGGCATAGAAAAAAAAGAAAAAAGAAATAGAAAGATTTAGTCTATATGCAATGCAATAAAGAAAAATTATTCACCAATGTGAATGAAAAAAAAATGAAAAAAATGATGAATAATGAAAAAAGAAGTAGAAAAGGATCAAGTTCAGGTTTGTACTTAGACTGCTTGAGTGATTAAGTCCTTAGGGGTGTGTTCTGACACCTAATGCCCTAAGATCATCTAGTCTGAGAGTCATTGGCTGAAAACTTGTTACATAAGCGGTTTAGGTTGCCTAGATTACTTGAATAATTAAGTTCTTAGGGGTGTTTTAACACTTAATGCCCTAAGACCATCTGGTCTGGGAATCATTGACTGAAAGTTCATTACATGGGTGATTTAGAAAGCTTAATAAGCCTAAACATTGCACAGTATCCTTTTTGAAAAAAATGAATACTCGAAAAAAATAAAAATGCCTTTGGAGTTAGAATTTGAAAGGTTTGCCTGTGAATTAAGGAATAACAAGGAATAAATGCAAGTATGGACAGTAAGCCACACATTAAATTCTAGGATCACTATCAGAAAGTGTTTTAGAGATTAAGATTGTTGAATAAATGATTAAACTGATACGTGGGGACTATAGTTGCTAATTGAAATTAGAAGTTGAAAGTGGTTCTGATTACATGATTGGTATACTTGCTGTATTTGACTGATTAATGAACAGCAGGGATAATATGATTTGAAAACAGGCTTGAATTAGCTTGCTGTGCAGTAAGGCACTAATTTGAGAAGTTTGTGGGTATCTTCACTGGAAACCCTCACGAGACTACAACTTGTCTACTAGGGGTAACCTAAGGGTTTAAAGGCTTGTTGTATAGGCTAAATGCAACCGTGATTCCCACAAAAATGGCTTTTTAGTTCTGTATTGCTAAGGGACTAGGTGTAAGTTTGGGGGTGTGATTAACGCTGAATATATGCATATTCGAGCCCCTAAATATATATGTTAAGGTCTAAAGTGATATTTCTATCCATAGTTAGACTAATTTATGTTTAATGTGTGTTTGTAGGTACTTTCCCAGAAAAATGGTTAAAACCGGGACTTTATGATGATATCGAAGCTTACAGAGTCGTTGCCGGTCATTCAGAGCAAGCTGAGAGCTTAAATGGTGAAGTTTGAAGAAATTCAAGCCTTAGAGCTCAAGCGCAAGTGTGGAGGTTCGAGTATCACATCAAAGAAAAGAAGAAAAGTCAACAAGACCCAAAAGCTCGAGCCTCACAATAAGGTGCTCGAGCCTTAACCAAAGGTGCTCGAGCCATGACCCTTAAGCTCGAGAATGAGGCGTTGGAAATTAAAGAGTTGATTTAATTACAAGGCTATGCTCCCAGGTCTCGTGCCTTACCTCCAGAATCAAGCACTAACAACTGAAGCTTGAGCCTGGTGTACTGAAGCTCGAGCCTAGTGTTCCTGATGCTCTAGCTTGGTATCTAGTGCTTGAGCCCATGAAGCTTGGATCGAGCAATGTTAAAAGCGATGAGTCCCAGAAATATTCTAAGTGTTGAAGAAAAAGACGCTTCGGAAAACAGTTGACGGAATTTGGCTAAGTGTCAAAATGAAGATCGAGCACCATTTATGGAGGATCGAGCATCAATCCTGTAAAGCTCGAGCCTTATTCCTGAAACTCTAGCTGAACCTTAAAGCTCGAGCCTCTGTCCCTGAAGCTCAAGCCTTCCATGACATATCGGATTAATATTACAGGATTGCTATCTTTATCAGCCGTATCTCATCCCAATTGGGCCAGAAGATCTAAAAGCCCACCAAATATTATTTTTTTCTATAAAAGAAGGCGTAAGCCTTGATAGAAGGGGTCCGAAATTTCAATCTCTTTTATGGTGTTATTCAGAAGGCTGAAGGTATAGTGGCTTTTAGGGTTCATACAATCTTGAAAGTGAAGATCCTGAGAAGAGAAATGCCGTCCGTAACGATTGAGATGAACTCAACATAGATGATATCCGACCTTGTTATGAGTAGCTAATTCCTTTCTTAGGGCACTGATGTAACCCAACCTAATACTATGGTTTGATTGTTTTAACTTTGGGATTAATTTTAATATATGTATTTTGCTGATTATATGACTATAAGCACTTGAGACAGCTCAAGTAGTTTTCATGCTTTAATAGATTATAAATTGTTACTACCTTGTCTTAGATGTAATAGTCTATTTTTTATTCCCAACCTACCTTATTGGACGATATCTGGCGGAGCCCTGCTGGCCATAAGAATAGAGGTTCGTATAATGGTGTTCAACATATTTTACAAAAGAATGTTTTCATAGTCTATGCTTAGGAAAGGTGGATTGTTTGGAATGTAGTTAAAGTAGTTAAAGTAGTTAGAGTAGGTAGGCAGATAATCCACGCTAACCGTAAATAGGTTATAGTTAGCTAATTTTGTAAAATATCTTTCTTTAAAACCCGAATTGAACGAATGTTATTGAGTTCAATTCATTTAGAAAATATCATTGTTAAATTCCCAGAGTTAGTGTAATTAACTATAGTATGATGGTTATAGTTAAGTCAAAGCCCTAAGATTCCTCTCTCTCTAATCACTTAATTTATTTACTTTGCTTTTGTTTAATATTTTGCTTTAATTATAGTTTATTAAACCGTGACAACCAACAAACTTTCCAACCAATTTATCTGTAAACCATAGAACAAAGTTAAAGACTGAAATATAAATTTCTTCTCCCTGTGGGTTCAACATCTCTTTCTAAAGCACTATTCTGCATGGAATCATTCTATTGCGAGTGTAAAATAAACAGATAACACTGCCGAGTTTGTTAGGCCTCCATCGCCCAAAATGTATCTCGGTGGCGCTGAAAATCCTTTAATACAAAATTTGTCCCATGGCAAATAGTAATGTACCGCCATGAGTCATTTAATGCCATCGCCGGAGTCCATACTGGTCTCTATCGCAGACGTCTAGGCATCGCTACTATCCAAAGCCCCGACACATTCTCTCAACACTGTCCAAACAAACTCCCAAATCTGTGCTCCAAGGCTCGAGCTTAAAGTCCAATGGCTCGAGCTTTACTATGACTAGGGCTTGAGCTTGAGGTACTGATGCTTGAGCTTCCTGCAAATTAATGCTCGAGCCAAATTATAAGGGCTTGAGCTTCTTGGTTTTCAACTAAAGCAAATCTCCTCTCAACTCCTCCAAAGTCAACCTAAATCAAACCAAATCCACCCCAATACTTTTCTCAGTCACCCTACAACCCCAACTTTCCTCTATTTGCACCTCAATCCTTCAAAGCTACCTAACCCGTGTATGTCAAATCCAATTGAGATTTGGAATTTCTGCAAGGTTGAATGATAGATTCATGATTAAATTAGGTTATATACGATTAAAAGGAAGTTTTTTAAGAGATTTGGGCATTATTTTGGGATAAAATTAGTGCATATATAGAATATATATGCATACACATATATATATATATATATATATAAACCGAGAGGGATGGAGCAGTTCATACCTTTATGATTTGGAGATTGAAGCTTTAGATGATGAAATTGAAGAAAGTTAAGAGAATTGGGAGAGATTGGAGGCAAAAACGAGCTAAGGCACAAGGGTTTTAAATGCGGCTCAATGGTTTATTTTTATTTTAAAGTACAAAGGCTTAAGCCCTAGGTTTAAGGCTTGAGCATGGTGGTTAAAAACCCTAAAGTTCATGATGATGGAGAGTTCGAGCTTAGCGTGTGCAGGCTCGAGCTTTAAGTAGCTGATGCTCGAGCCCCAAAGGTCAGGCTCGAGCATTAAGACAAATTTTTTAATTTTTTGAATTTTGGAATTTTTATTTTCCTATTCTATTCTATCTAAATCTAAACTACCCTAATCATAAAATAAACCTAAAATAAACCTAAAACCTAGAAAAAAGGGGAAAAATAATTAAATCATACACTAAAATAAATAAGTAAAACTATGGTACAACATATAAATGCTAAGTTTAACGTCGATAGCTCGACAACATGCTAAGTTTAACGTCGATAGCTCGACGAAAACCTAACCTCTCTAGTCCAAGTAAATAGGATCATGAAGTTCTACTATCTCCATTGTGCCTCTCTGCACACTACCCTCTATGTATGGTTCAGTCTCTGTCCATTGACCTTCGACAATTATCCAGTTTTGTAATCCTGTATCTCAGTTGCACCATAAGGTGT